TAAGTGGCTTAGTAACTCATATGATATTAAATCCATTGAAAAACTATCACAATACCAATAATCCCCATATTCTGGTGAGACTGAGGCTGATGATTCACTTGAACTTGGGAGTTCTGGGCTGCAGTAGGCCCAAAGCTAGTGTCTGTTGTAAGTCCAGCCCTTAATACAGTGAACCCCAGGAATAGGGGGCCACCAGGTTTCCTAAGGATGGATGAACTGGTCCAAGTTGGAAAAATAGAACAGGATAAAGCTTATCTGATGATCAGTATTGGGAATGGGGTGTGCTGCACTTCTAGCCTGGATGAGATAGAGAGAAACCCAGACAGTAAAGGAGAGGAGAGGAGAGGAGAGGAGAGGAATGGAGGAGAAGAGAGGAGAGGAGAGGAGAGGAGAGGAGAGGAGAGGAGAGGAGAGGAGAGGAGAGGAGAGGAGAGAGGAGAGGAGAGAGAGGAGAGGAGAGGAGAGGAGAGGAGAGGAGAGGAGAGGAGAGGAGAGGAGAGGAGAGGAGAGGAGAGGAGAGGAGAGGAGAGGAGAGGAGAGGAGAGGAATGGAGGAGAGGAGAGGAGAGGAGAGGAAAAGGGAAAAAGGAAAGGAAAACAAAAAGGAAAGGAAAGGAAACCTATGAGCTATATATAATTAAGGCTTCAATTGGTGTGGGCGGGGGACAGGGAGGATGGACTGTTCTTCCAATGTGATAAAAATGATAAATTAAAGAATATGTATCAAAACCTTGTGAATTCAACATCAAATCATGTCAAAGAAGTGACTGCATCACAAAACTGATATGTCGCATTAAAAATTTATTCTTAAGATGTAAAATGCTGTAAGATTTATTGTGTAAAAATAAATATATTTTACTTTGTCCCAGTTAATTTTAACTCCATTGTACCAAATAAAATTATTCCTGGATCTTTTTATTCATAGTTCATATCAGTTTTCTTATATGTTTCACATACATGTATATAGAGGCATGGAAAACAGTTTTCCCATGAATCAAGTAATGAGAATGTTATATAGAGAGATAGTTTTTAAAAGCTTTCAATAAGATCTTTACAATTTTATACTTTTGCATAGAAACACAATAAAAACTAAATTCATTGAATAAATATACTACACTTGAAAGTTTTCACCTGATTTGTGTTACTTTCACCATGTGTACCAATATAACCATGTCAGATAGCAATCTTGCTTGAACCATGATCAAGCAATTGATTACACCATTTCCTTATTCATGAAGAGGTAAGGTAAAGGGACCTGATTTTAAATGCTGCTTTTTCTTCCCATCCTAAGGCCAATCAAGATCATCCACTTCTAAGAACCATTCAAAAGGCCCATTTTCATTTTCCTTTCACCATTTTAACTAGAACACTGATAGAGTGGGGGGAGCAGTTGCTATGAGGCACAGAAAAATTTCCTGGCAGTTGAGAGCCCTCCATCTATCATGAGGATTTGAAATGCTACTTCTTTACAATACCATATAGATTCCAAGGATTTTGTGAAACTCTCATCTAAAATGGAGAGATTTTTACAGGGTATTCAAGCAGTAAATGCCTATTGCAATCATTTAAAAAATCATGGAACCACCATTTGATTTCAGATTTTTCTGTCTCAATTTTTAGGCTGAAAGTAATGGTAATAATCCAAAGATAATGTTTTGAAACTGATTAAAGTAGGATATTTTCATAAGTTCAATGTCCTTATGATGTCTGAGAGCTAAAATAATATTGAATAGCAAAAATATTATTGTGATGATAATAACTAATACACATACAGCTGTTTGCAAAACACTGCACATGAATTATTAAAATGAAGTCTTACAAAAACCATGTGGTATTGTCATTTTACAGATGAAAAAACTGAGGATCCAAGAGCTTAAGACACTTGGCCATGGTCAGGCAGCAAGTCAGCATCAGAGTGTGATTCCAAAAGAGATCTGCCCTTATTGTTAGTGTCACAGGGCATTATGATGTAATGCCTCTCAATGCAATGTAACTAATGCCTAAAGATGTTCATTAACTAAAGCTTAGAAGTGCTTTCCAATTTCTCTCCATTTTGGATAAGAGAAAAAAAATCATGGCTGCAAATGAATGAATGAAAAAAAAAATTATTGATCACTTACTATGTGCCAGGCATTGTGCTAAGCACTTGGGAATATAAATAGAAAATCCTTGCTCTCAAGAAGGTTACATTCAAATATGGAGGTAGTATATTCAGTGGAGTGATGGCTTGGGAATTGTGCTTTAATCAGGGTAATTACAGAGATGGTGAGTGGAACAAAAGGAAAATTAATAATTGTGTTCTTTCCAGAAGCAATGGTAATATTTATTTGAGTACAGTTCCCAGAATAAGAGGGTAGAAAGAAAGGTGAGGTAATTAGGGTTAGGATTAGACTTCCTATGGTAAAAGTTCAAAGCTGAGTGGCTTAGGTTCTCTAAGGATAGACATGGTCTCTGGACATTCAGTGCGGGATGTGGAGCAGCAACAGCAGGGCAAAAGATGGCCAGGGCAAAAAAGAGTATTATGTGAATTTGGAAAATAGTAATTCTAGGTTTGGTGGATATCAAGAAAATAGATAAAATCTAGAAAGAAACACCATACAAATTAATATATAATGATATGTGATCATATTGTCATATTAGAAGTTGTAATTAAATAAATAACTATATTTATGTCCATTTATATTAACATAATCTATATATATATGTATATATATATATATATATATATATATATATATCAAAGATAGCCACTGCACATGTATGTGCACATTGTGCAAAAATTCAGACACAAATTAAGTGTACAAAAGACTACATTATGTTCTTTGCAATGTATATATGTATGTCATAAGAATATATGCATATGTATGGATATATGTATACACACACACACACACACACACACACACACACACACACACATATAAACACAAAGTGTAGAATTTGCTAAATTAACCATCATGTAATCCTGAAGTTATTTGGTATCTTTGGGCAATATATAAGAAGAACATATGAGGACAATATGTGACAAAGAAAGGATTTTTCTTAAATATACCAACTCTTTCTAGTATGCTTTTCAGTTTTTATAGAAATATGGGAGCAGAATTACATCTAGGATTTTCAGATGTGTGTTAGAGTGTGGAAGGGAGAGGCTAGAAATGAAAGAAGAAAAAAGGTATAGAGATATCTATCTTGCAGATTATGTCCTCTTCTTCCAAAGTAGCAATCAGAGCAACCCAAAAAGAATGAGAAAAGTGGAGATAGATTGTGTTTATTAATAAGAAGTTCAAAAATCAAACAGTGTGCCCCCATTCTGTGACCAGAACTTCTGTAGTTATTATATTTTTCTTTGAAAAAATATATTCTGAGTTAACCCTAAAACCTAGGTATAATTCTGGAATATAACTACTAGATGAGGAATATTTCTCCTGCTTTGGGAGCCAAACTCTAAGAGTAAGAGCAAATATTTGATGCTGAAGAGCTCTTAAGAGATGAAGAGTACCATTTACTTATTTCTGCTCCTCACTGTGGGCTTAGGATGTTAAATAGATTAAAAGGCTAAGAGAGGTCAGTCACTCAAGGGAAGATTGTTTTCTCTTTTTCTGATTTGTTTCCCTTCAAAAGTTTATTTTTCTTCCTTGAAGGATCCTGATGAAACTTAAAATGTGAAACCCCTTCATTAAGGGCCTGAACTTTCAAGGGTAGATGCGGTAAGATTTCAAGTGATAGGAGGAAGGAGTGGTGAGACAGAGATCCAAATTCACTAGGAAACTTATGTAATTCAGCTCATGATAGTTAATAATTCTAACCAAAGTTTCAAAAAATAAGAAAGCTGATGTCATGTAATTTAACTTTATCATTTCAAAATGAATAAACTGTGACTAAGACAGCTAAGTATTTTGTCCTAGGTCACACAGCTGTCTACTGGGAGACTTGTCTCCCAAGCCTGAAGTGCTTAAAGAGTCTGAATTTTGTTGCCTGTTTTATTAATGTTATCCTATAATGTACCTTAGGTTTCTACTTAGGCATTTGATTTATTTTTCACATATCCCCTAGAGCCATTTCAGTAGGAGAGGGAGAGAAAAAGGAAGATGGTCTGTCCTTAATACCACAGTATGGAGGAGTCTTTCATCAATGTGGCCCTAAGGGACATTTGTATCCACCCACCACAGAATAATAGAAACAAGACCTGGGAGGGGGAGAGAAAATCAGTTTGTGGGGTTAACTTGGACTCTAACTCTCCTTCATGTTTTTCACTTGCCAGCTCTTTCCCCAACCTGGCCTCAGAGAGGACAGCCTAGTCATTTCCATTTAACCTCATTTAAAAAGGCATAACTAATAAATCTGTATGGCCTGGGCCTTTGGGGAGATGGCCAGCAGAGTCGATCTTGGTACTAATCCTATTGAACCCTATTCAAAACCATGACAACACAGGACAAGCTCTGATTTATCCCAGTGAGTTAAAGAGCATTGTGAAGAGGTGTCAATCATGCATTATTCTCCATCTGAACAAATGCAAAATCCTGACTGGAACAAATGCTTCCAACAGGTCCAGGGAGTCGAGCTCCATTTCCCCTTTGTCTGAGGCCTAGCAGTTGGCCTGTACTGATTTTCCCCTCTGCCCGACCACCCAGCATGCAAGTAGCAGAGAACCCCTGTCACCAGGCACACTTGGGAGTAGGGGTTGGGTGGTAAGGTTGGGAAGGTTGTTGAAGAGGTTTGGGAGGGGGGGATACAAAAGGGAGAGGGAGAAATCAAGATACTGCAATTGCTTCTTGGGAATTGAAGGGCCACATCTGGAGCTTCACCCCACTGTGAGCTAGAAGCTGCCCTTAGTTGGATTCAGCTCCTGCCCTGCTTCAATTATTTGTCAGCTCACCCTCAAGGTTGGGGAGTGTCATTCTAATTGTCATTGCTTTCCCCACCAGCACTGACAGGATTACTCTTCCATTCCTCTTTTTTCTCTAAAAACCAGTGCCTCCAAACAATTTAGGTAGAGAAGTACTTTAATGACAATAATTCTGTATATACAACATGAAGAAGTGTCATTTGGCTACTGCTTGGTACATATTGGATAGAGGCACTATCAGTATGATGGATGGAAATTTAAATGTAAAAATAATTACCTGCTGCTGAGATTAATGGGGCTAGGAAATTGAGCCCTATCCCTTTCCACTGTGCTTTAGATCCAGATGGACATGCAGACTAAGTTTAAACCTAGGGAAGCTTGACTTCCAAAAAGAGAGTTTAGGATTTTTCTCAAAGATATGTATTTCCTGTAAATAAAAGAAATGTTTAATATACCTAGAACCCACAAACATTCATAGATTTAAAAAAAACAAACTTAAGCAGCAGTAAGAGAACTGTGATACTCTCCCAAGAGATACATACTTAAAATATCAAGATGTGATGCAATTTGCAGAACTGCTGAGTAGGCATTTTATGTATCACCTGGGCTCTATACTATCTAATCAAATCCCTCCAGGTCCGTGTTTTCTGGTAAACCTAGCCAGGGTCTGAACTACTCTTCATGTCATGGAAGGGGGGCAGGAAATAAGTTTTTATTAAGCACCTACTATGTGCCAAGCACCGTGATAAGTGTTTTACAACAATCTAATTTGATCTCACAACAATACTGTGAGACAGGTGCTGTTATCTCTATTTTACAATTGAAGAAAACAGAGGAAGAGAGAGGTTAACTGACTTGCCTAGGGTCACACAGCTAGTTGGTGTTATGTCTTCTCATATGTGGAAATTCCCCCTTGACATCAGGGAACTCAGATGAAGGGACTGAGGACCTCTTGATCTCCCAAATTCCCAAAGTTTCCTCGAAGACTAGACAAGTGTCCAGTTTATCTCCTGATCCATATTCAGTCACTAATGCTCAGGGAAGGAAACATAAAGCAGAAGAGGCTTAAGAATCAAGGTCTTCAAGACTCATCCCAAAGTGAGACCATTCCAACTGGCCCACTTCCATGTGGTAGCAAAGCATTTTCCATATCCCAGAAGTGAACTGTCTAACCTGCCCTTCCTCTCAAAGGAAGTTCCAGAGTTACAAACTTCAACCTAGAGAGTCAAAGAAAAGAGCCAGTCACTCCTTTTTTTTTTTTTAAGGTCCACTGAGAAGAAAGATAACTCCCCTTGGTTTACAGATCTGTCCTATCTGCTTCAGTTTTGAGGCAGTTTTTTTAACCCTCCTTTAGTCTTCCCCTTTTAGTCTTCAAGGAATAAGAGACCATTGGACCCTCAACTTACTTTATCGTTCCAAATCAACAAGTCTTTTAGAAGTTAGCACTTGTTTTCTTGAATTGCCCAATGAAGGCGACTCACTGTAAACTCCATGGGATGTCTCCCTCTACATTAAAAACAAACAAACAAACAAAAAGCAACCATCACTAAAATAATATACAGCAGAAGTACCAAACATGTTAGCTGCTGGTAGCATGAGACCCACAATACTCCCATGTGTAGCCGTAACCAGATTAAAACATAATTCAGAAATATTTAACAAAATAAATAATACAATAAAACAGATAATATTACACTTTCTGAGTCAATATGGTCTGCAGAGATCCCTGTGTATAGATTTTATTGCCCTCCTCCCTTTATATTTAAGTTTGACACCAATGGCCTACAAGACCTTCACTTTCCTTTTCCTTAATAGGATGCTGTAGGGTCAAGAATTTCAGAATAGTTTCTGCAGGATCTCTGGGGAAAGGGGACTTTTGTAGCTCAGCTGCTGCTGAGGTGGGTGGTGACCCACCTTTCCAGAAGTCAGGCTTTTCTCTTTCCACCTCTTTCGCTACAGCTCTGGCTAGTGCTACCAAGCAAGTTAAGGAGGGGGACCTTCTGATGAAAGCTGGGATGTGTGGCAGAGTTGTACTACTTTCAAAACAATATTACCATACTCCAAAGTGATTCAGTTTAGGGTAATCATCATACTTGACTGGCTCTGGAACCCCTGAGATGGGACACTGTCAGTGACATGCAATCCTAAACCCCAGCGCTATCGAACTTGAAATAGGGATATCACAGTTCCTTCTTTTCTGAAAGCCCTAGGGGTCAGAGATTGGGTGGACAGTAAGAAAAAAGTGGATGGGAATCTATTTCTAGACAAATTCTGATCCACAGCCATCATCTGAGCTGAATAGGGGTATGTGGGGGGAACAAACAGATAAATGGGTCACCAGTAGGTGGTTGGGTGGTGGATCTCACCAGTTAAAACAAAAGCGGAAGGCTGAACCAACCGTCTTAGTAGATCAGGAAAGCGGAATTTTGGTCTGGGTTACCTGGATGGTTACCTCAACCATTCTTTATACTTTGTCTGTGGAGCCCCTGAGACAGATCTGGAGTTGCTGTGTATCCATGAGGAGCGTGGCTTTGCCTCTCAACACTCTGGTGAAACCACAAAGGTAAATATGGACTGCACTTTCAGCTAACACTTAAAGGCCAGAAACCGCGGCCATTTCAACTAACGGAAGAATGATTCTTCATTCGGTGTGGCCGGCATCGGCAGAAGCCGAAATGCCAAGGTTCTGTGGCTATACAGCTACGTAGATGAATGGCAGATTGTTTTCTTAGGGGTGAAGTAGAGAAGGGGGGGGAGAGAAGATGGAGGAGGGCCTTTTAATTCCACCCTTGTAAATCACTTCCCAGATAATTGAGGGGAAACTAACAAGCCAGCAAACAACCTCAATGAATAAAGCAAACAGGGAATAAATTCCTGGATCCTCGTAAAACACACCCATTTCACCCTCATATCCACCCCCACCCTCCTCCAGACTTCTAGAACTCTGATGAGGACCAGACTGTGTCAGTGCAGAAGAAGGAAGCTGGTGTTAGTGAAGGCTGGGGGGATGGGGAATAGAGGAGGTGGGCGGGTGGTGGACCATCGCTTGCCACCCAAGATGTTATTCACTGGTAAGAATCCCCATTATCTGTCCTCACTTTAGGCTAATCAGACAGAATCTCTAAAGCTAAAGCCTGTTTCCTGCTGTCTCTGTGAGGTAACGGGGAGGGGCGGGGCCGAGAAGAGGACTGAGGTGGCACCTTACTGTCTCCTTTCAGGGTTAAAAACCCCCAATCTAGTTCAGGTACTTATCCTGTAGACAGAGACAGTTTTCAAAGCAACCAGAGTTGGGAGAACTGTTTATATAAATAGGGGATCCTCCTGTAAACGACACTAATATTCCTTTGGTCACGCAACACCAAGGGCCTCTGTTTCAGCTTCCAGCTGCCCCGCAGCACTCTTTCGCCCACCCTTTGCAGGCCAGTGCAGCCATGGGCACATCTGGACGTATTAGCTTCACTGTGCGCAGCCTCCTGGATTTACCAGAGCAAGATGCGCAACACCTGCGGAGGCGGGACCCAGAACCACCAACCCATCGCAGCCCCGGCCCTTACCGGGAGTGGATGGAGACTGACCGGAGTCACTACCCCTGTGAGTGAGTGGCAATTTCGACTTGTTCCTTGAGGGGTGGGGAGGGTAACCTGGTCGGGGAGGTGTACTCCAGTCTGGATATTGACTAGGTTCTGTGGAACCCAGAAGGAATGAGTCTCTAACTCAGAAACACAGAGGGGAGCCTTTTGCTAGGCAGTCAGAAAGCAGTCGGCGTCACTGAAGATCTCCATGTGGAGCTTTGCGAAGCTGCTGTTCTCAGAATAAGTCTCTAATTTAACCTCAAACTCCGAAACCAAGGAACTCTGTCCTTTCAAACTCAACACCATGTCAGGTAGGGAGAAGAATAATAAATTTGTCAGCTCTGCAAAACTGGAGCTGTAGGTATGAATATGATTTCCCGGTTATTAGAATTTCGTTTCCTGTTATAAACCAACAATTTTTAAAAGCCCAACCTATTCCTTTTATCCATTCACTTCGAATTTTCTTTTTCCTGCCTACACACCTTGGTTTTATGTCCAATTTAAACGCTGGAAAAAGCAGCTCGTTTCTCCCCAGGCCAGATCTAGCGAATGCTCAGCATTGAAATTTATGGGCTCAGTCTTCCTCCCTTGCAGACTAGAATTGGGGAAGGATGGGGAACAGGTGACGTTACGGCAAGACTGTCTACCAAGGTATGCCCAGAGGTATATAATCCAAATTCAGTTAAATACCAATGGTGTTGTAGATAGTAGTGAATGCATATTAATACTGACACAGAGCACAGTTTCAGGTCTGTGTTTTCATTTACGGGTTCCGAGAGAAGGACTAGTGCCTTAGTAGGAGTTAGAGAAAGCGAAACAAAATATTTAAGCCCTGTGTCGTTGGGAAGGCGCTCCGAAGGGAGGGTGCGAAGGGATATCAGTATCTGATTCAAATGCCCTTAGACAATCTTTCTAGACCAACGTGTGTAGTTGAGTAGACTGGATTCGGGCACTCTGTGCCGCGCCCTCAACGTGGTGCATCTCCTTTGCCGTCCTCTCAGCTTCAGACGACAGCAGCCCAGAGACCAACCCTTCGGATTCCGTGGAGCGACTGCGATCCCTGCCTCCTGTAGAGCTGCCTGTCTCCGACTCTGAGAAGAGGAAGAAGCGACGGGTGCTGTTCTCCAAGGCTCAGACTCTGGAGCTGGAGCGGCGCTTCCGGCAGCAGCGTTACCTCTCTGCTCCAGAGAGAGAACAGCTGGCTCGGCTCTTGAGCCTGACGCCTACTCAGGTCAAAATCTGGTTCCAGAACCACCGCTACAAGATGAAGCGTGCCCGGAGTCATGGGCCTCTGGGTCCTGCCTGTGCGGTGGATCTGAGCCCAACTCCTGGGCTGCTACACCGTGTGGTAGTCCCGGTGCTAGTCAGTGACCGAAAGCCTTGCCAAGGTTGCGAACCTAGTCTGGCAGCACACCTGGACAACCCGAGTTTGCCTCAAGCTGCCACTGCCTCCACTTGCGTTCTTCAGGGTTACCCTTCTTTCCCCACCAGTTCCACGGCTGCACTTAGTCTCTTTCAGGCTAATCAGCACTTAGCTCACCCGACAGTTGTCTCTTGGAACTGGTGAGATCGCCAGGGCAGAGGAGAAGGGATGTCTTGGGTCTCTCTCTCTACTGATTTCCGACCTTCAAGTCTATTTACAGAAATTTACTTCAGAGACCTAGAACCTTCCCTGTAGTCCCAAAAGCGTCTTTAGGTTCCAGGGGCAGTGGATGACTGTGGCAGCTCTCTGTCCTCCTTACATCTGACCTTTCTGGGACCCCCTAGTTCTCTCCAGATCACACGCTCAAGTCTCGGCGAAAGCCAGGACTAGAATTCGCCAATATTTCCTCTTGTCCTCTCCCCAGCTGCAAATTCACCTGTTAAATGGATTGTTCAAACCACATTTGTATATTTTCAAAGTAGTGATTTGTATGGGAAACGATCTATATTTTAAAGAAATAGATTTTTTTTTGTGGTAGTACTAATGTGAATAAAATATATTTGGATCCTTTCTTTTCCCGTTTCTGCATAACAGAGTAGAGAAGCAATGCTGTGTTTTGAAGGGCATACATTACACTGCTGCTGCTTTCTCTTGGCTTTTAAAGACTTTGCTCTTTCACTGCTCCAAAATGCATACAATCGAAATCCAGACTCAACATTAAGGAGATGGTAGTGGAGGTGTGGAGAACAGCTAGTTGTTACTGGAAAGGGCCTGGGTGTACAAGTTTGTGAGTTCTCCCCCTCCCCATTCTGGAAGCTGTAATTTCTAATTCCAAATTCAGCATCACAATCTTGGGTAGAGACATATTTCTCCTGATCCCACCCTTTTGAAATTTTAATAAAAAACCGTTTCTTTGCCCTAAGTGATTCTGAAGGATGATAGAATCATGTATTTGGAGCTGAAAGGAATATCAGATGTTGTATAGTCCAGTCACTTCATTTTACAGACAGGAAAAGGAGCCCAAAGGTAGGATGTAAGTTATTTCTTCATTATCACATTATCTCCTGCGTCCAATATAAAGCAGATCCACAATTTTATGCAAAAAGATTTAAGCTGTAGACCTGAAGTTAGAAAGACAAATTCAAATTTGACTTCAGACTAGCTGTGTGATCTTGAGCAAGTCACTTAACTTCTGTTTGCCTAAGTTTTCTCATCTATTAAATTGGGATAATAATAGCACTTCTCTCCCAAAGTTGTGGCAAGGATAAAAACCTTAAGGAGACAACAATGAGGAGGAGGAGGAGGAGGAAGATGGTAATGACTGGGGTGTCATCTTACTCAGAAAGTACAAACATTTGACTATTTCATGCAAACTGCCTGTGCATCTTGCTTCCAGATAGGTTTTAAAAGTTTTTTTCCCCCTTTCTGATATTTAAGTTGACTTAAAGATAGAAATTTTGGATAAGGGGAAAAAATTAAAAGAGCTTAGAGAAATGCCTAGGAGGAAGAAGAGTCAAATATAAGGGAGGGAGAGTCTTAGAGAAGTGACAGCCAACAAAGTGTGGGAATTAGATCTTGATTAAAAGGAACACAATTTACTTTAAATAACTGAGATTTTCTGATTCCCACCTCTCACAAGAACGACCTAGGCCCAGGAGCAGGATCCAATTTCTGTCACCAGCCCTCTACTCCCTTATGATTAAAAAAAAAAAAAAGCCTTTTCCTTTTCATCAGCTCTGTCAGCAGCCCAGTCCACTTGTCAGAAATTACTGCCTCCCTAATTGGATCATAGGATTACATATTTAGAGCTGGAAAGGACCTTCAAAGCTATTGAGTTCAGCTCACTTATTTTACAGATGAGTAATCTGAGGCACAGTAAGTTTAAGTGATTGCAAGATCATAACATGTGTGGGAGGCAGGGTTTAAAATGCAGTCTTCCTGACTCCACCCACTACTTTACCTAGTTGCCTTTACAGATTTGAAATCCTGTCTCTTGTCAAGCCAGAAGGACAGGGAAACTCAAGCTTTGATGCCCTGGGTGGGAAGATTAATCTGGTATATATTTCAAGACTCTGACTCAGGAGCCCTAAGTGGACAATTCAAGACATGAAACTGAGGAGCAAAAAGAGTTCAAATAAATTCAAGGAGGCAGTGGATTGTAAGAATAGCCATTAACCTGAATAGATTGTAGGGGAAAATTGAGAAATCTCAGTCACTATTCCAAGGAAAATGTGTCAGGATTTATCGTCTGGTATGAGGGTGTGTGGCTAAGGAAGAGAAGGAAAGAGGGGGAAAGGACTGGGATATTTGGGTCTCAGCTGCTGGCCACCTTGTCTTCCATATGGATAGGGTAATCTTAGAAGAATCTAGATCCTTAAACCTCTTTTTGTCTTGGGAGCTGAAAAGTGTATTGTCAAGTCTGAAAAGGACCTGGACAAAATCAAAACTGTTTCAATTCAAGACTGTTTAATCAGTCCCTGGTGACAAAGTAATGCGTGTTAGGCAAGACAATGGTATCTTTTAAAACCTTGTGGCCTTCAGGAAGACAAAGGACTTGAATTTTATGGGTTTACAACTTCAATTAGAATACTGCCATTGTGAGCTGGAGATTATCAAATTGATATCATAAAATCCTTTTCCAATAAATGATTGCTGGGGAAGTAGC